GGGGAACTCTGCAAAAAACGCATCTTCGCACGGGCAGCCCGTGCGTTGGCCAATTTTTAATTTTGTGTTTTTGCACATATGCAAATGCAAAAAGGCATACTGTGACGACCCCGGTGTGTATGTATGTGTGTGCGTCTGCTCGGGTATTTCAGCTTAACAATCAGGCAGGTTTCGGCGTTAAAATTTTTCCACTGTGTTCCCCAGCCCCAAGGCCGTGGTACCAACCTTCGCGCACATCTGGCCTGCGTATGAGCGCGTGAAAGTTTGGGCGGGAAAATCACTAACTCGGAGACCAGAAAAGTTGGAATTCTGAAATTTTGAGGGGGTATTCCTGGATCACGTACAACTTAAAAATTCCAAATTCAGTCCCCGGCGTGCATGGTTCTCAAGTACGGCCCCGTGGAAATTTTTAGTGAGCCGCTAGTTTGTGAACCAGAGAATCTGGGGAGCTGAAATTTTGAGGGGATGCTCCCAGCCGATATTCCCAGCCGCCGCACAACCTAAAAATATCAAATTCAGCCACCAGTTGGGCATGGTACTCACGGAAGGACCCATGAAATTTTTTGGCGGGAAAGTTGCTAACTAGGAAACGAGAAACATTGGAAAGCTCAAATTTTAAAGCAAAGTTCTCTGTCCAAGTAACAAGTAGTTGCGCAGTTAACTTCCCGAACTTCGAGAGCCAGTATGTCACCAATTCTAGCTATTGGATTTCCAAGCGATCTTACTGTAGCACGACGTCCTGCAAAAATGCATGATCGCAGAGGCCTGCCTGGTGCGCGTTGTCAGTCATTTACTTAGGCATAGCTGTTGACGACTCACAGCTAAAAATTTTTTTGAGGTGTGCTCACTCTGTGTCCCTTCGATATTTTGATTTTCAAGTCTTGCCTGACTACAGTTGCCGCCGGTACTTGGCTCGAAAGGATTCGCACCGGCACTCCTGACGGCATTATTGGTTTCCTAGGCCCTCCTATCTAATTCGAGTGATATGTGCTGTCCTCTGCATTGCAAGCATAGCTTACTGAGGAACAGTACAATGAATGCAAAATTTGGTAAATTAACATAATACTATACAACGGGGAATAATGCACCTTCGCGCTTTTGTAATAAGATGTTGCGGATTTCGAGCTTTCACCTCCCTTTTTCTCTACACTTATGGCATTAGCTCAAAATTCGTACCAGTTTTATAACTCACGAATTAATAGGCCCACAAACTCGGAATTTTTAAGGCTCAGTTCTTCACTGTACCCTATGAAGTTCACTGAAACTAGTCTTCACAACTTTTTTGTCATGATTGTACCTCAGACCCAAAAACTGTACAGCTTTTGAATGAAATTAGCTAAGATCCTTCAGATGCCATTTTATTTGTTGTAGTTTTAGAAGGCATTATTTTCTGCTTCTTTGCTTCTTTCTGTCAAACAGCTTTGAAATGTGGTATTCAGATATTTAGACAGATTGTTCTAAAATAAAATCAGTGACAAACTGTTAATATTAGTTCTAGTAATAAGGTCCAGCACTAAATAATAAACTGTAAAATTGGGAATTTTATCCAGAAACTCCTGTGGTTTCGGTTGTAGTAATACCATCAGACTTTGTTAGTAACCGTATTTTATATGTGAATGGTTTATCAAATGCTATGATCAAACAAAAATAGTTGCGCCTGTCCGATCATTTGCTGCTTCTTAGTTAAAATATCATGATCTACATGCTTTTGACTCCTGCGGAAGTTTGTCACCCAAATGTTCGGTAATTTTATGGAATAATTCAACATTTTTTTAGCTGATTTTGCCGCCCTTATGACTAAACCTTGTCTGGTTCTACCCCATTTTGTACCTCTCACATTGGGGTTCAATTTTTCATTTTTTCGTGCAAAAATTTTTATGCGTTTTTTGCAGCCATGCAGTGCGAAAAACGCGTATTGACGAGAGGTTGTCTGTGTGTATGTCTGTGTGTGCGTTGCGCGCCTGTACCGATTTTTCATCTCGAGACTCACAAAAGCTACAGGGCTGAAACTTTGGGGACTTAATCTACATGCACGTACGGATCCCTATCCCTAAAATGGGCGGTCTTTCCCGCGTGGTACTCACGTAAGAGCTCGCCAAAGTTTTTTACGCGTAAGCTACTAACTCGCGAACCAGAAAAGCTAGAGAGCTGAAATTTTATGAAAATGTTCCCCGTCCAAATAGGTACCAATGAGTTCAAACCTAGCCTCTGGGTAAGCGTGGTACCAGCGTACGGGCCCACCAAATTTTTTCCGCGCAAATTCATAACTCGGGGTTCTGAGATGCTAGAAAGCTGAAATTTTAAGGGAGTGTCCCCCGTCCAAGTAAGTACTAATGAGCTCAAACCCAACCCCCGGGTAGGTGTGGTACCCGCGTACGGGCCCGCCTAAATTTTTTTCGGGTAAGTTCATAACTCGGGGATCTGAGAAGCTGGAACACTGAAATGTTCCCCATCCAAGTGGGTATTAACGAGTTCAAACCCTGCCCGCGGGTAAGCGTGATACCTGCGTAAGGGCCCTTGGAAGTTCCGGGTAAGTTGCTAACTTGGGAAAGTGAGAAGCTAGAAGATTGGTATTTTGAAGGGATGTTTCCTGACAGTTCTGGCGGCTAGTCTGAAATTCTTTTAGCTAGAAGCGTCTGCCAGAAAAACCAGTGCCTTTAGCGACAAAAATCTGCGGGGAGCCATGCAAAAAACGCAACTTCGCACGGGCAGCCCGTGCTTTGGCCAATTATTTGTATCCTTTGAAAGCAAATTATGTTGAGTTTTTCCTCTTATTGTTCATCCCGTGCTTGCAGTATCTACTGATTTATACTTGCTAACTGAGTTACATTCTGGCTCCCTGAAACATTTTTCTTCGCGGAGCACTTTAGCAGCTTGCATATTATCTGGCGTTTCCAAGGTTGCCGTTACCAAAGCGGCATTACTGAATAGTCAGATTTCTCGTGTTTTTTTTCCACTGTTCCAGAAAGAAATGCAAAACTGACAGCTTTCCTGTAGATTACGATTTGTTTCCCGCATCCAAAACAGCTAATACGTTCGAAGCAGCGGATCAGCCGAATATACCAGTGCCGTTTCGCACGCCATTTAGTGATTTATTTTTCCACGCCTGTTATTTGTTCCCCTACCGTGTGAGCAACTTTTTTCCCAACACAGGCTTCCTGCATCATATTTTTTACACCAAAATGAGCACGGTAATTTCAGTCTGCAAAATTGTTGGCATCTTTTTAATTGAAGGACTAGTCTGAAGAAAGCCATAATTTCACTTAGATAAACTTCCAAAATAAGTTTTCACGCACACCTGCATCCTGTGTTTATACGCATTAAACCTTCGTTGCAAGCTTGAGGAAATTCTCATGTGCTAGTAGTCAGACGTGTTAGAATGATAAAATTTTACGAGATCTCCTAAGATTCCAGCTGTCTAGCTTCTCAGAACCCCGAGTTACTAATTTACGCGGGAAGAATTTTGAGGGCCTGTACGCGGGTACCACCCTTACCCGGGGGCTGGATTTGAGCTCATTAGCACCTGCTTGGACGGTGAACATTACCCTAAAGTTTCAGCTTTCCAGCATCTCAGGACCCCGAGTTATGAATTTACGCGAGGAAAATTTTGGGGGGCCCGTACGCGGGTACCACGCTTAACCAGGGGCAGGATTTGAGCTCATTAG